TTGTATGTTAATACGAACAATAAAACAGGTTTTTTACCGAAAGGTTTTTTCCTGCAATGAATATCTTTTATTTACATCACTACTAACAACTCATAAAATAACCAATAAACAATACTAATATTGAGAGCGACGCTTACCCCTAAGGTCTTACTCTCATTGCGACATAAGAATTGAAATTTGAATAGTCGCCCACGCTACAATAAGCATTCATCTAAAATAAATCACTTACTCGATAGTTAACCTACTTTACCGGCCATTCTAGGAGAGCTGTCAACGTTGGATCGTGTATCATACGTAAGGGTACTGATAAATTACTAGTAATATTTTAATTGCATTAAAATACTGCAAACTACAAATACACTTGCTGTTTACGCGCTGTACGATAGATAAAAATATTCGAGCGTAAAAGTTGCGTCCAAGACTCAAGACGTAACACTCCTGCAGATGTGAGAAACGTACATCTAGTCACGTATTATGGAATTATGATATAGATATACACTAAAGACTAGCTAAGCTTAATAAATTAAAAAATGTAAACATTTGACCTCTATTGATTATTGAATGTATCACAGCTGCACCAAATATCATGGAGTGCCTTAGAATGATAAAATTTCTTAAAGTTAGGTAACTTACCGTCAAGTCTCATATTTTTAGTTCCTGTAACAATTGACAATTGTCACTGATTATATAGTGTAACACACATAGGGACTGCGTTGCGCATGGTTATTATAATTAAGTCAACTTATTTAGTTTACATCTACAAGGTTAGAATTTCCCCAATCTTACAAAAAGGAAGAAAAAAAAGTCATACTGTTAAGGAGGTTGGATACATATCATCGACAATAGTTGGGGGCTCTAGTTTAGTTTTTGATTTGTCCTATGTGTTATAAAAAATAAACGTACTTTTTTTGGGCGATCTCAGCCATGTAGTTATTAAGATATTTCAAAATAAAAAATGAACAATTGAACACGGGCTGTTATGGGAACGATGTTGTGACCTAAAAATGGTATTCCTTAGTAATAGTCAAAAAATCGACAAAAAATATATTTTGATACTTCAAATACTGCAGATTCATATGATCCTCTGATTTTTGTCAGTATCCATACTAATTAAAGAGAAAATCACGACTTTTTGAAACAAAAATGAAAACTTTGATTAGGTTTATAAGATGGATGCATGTATTCCATAAGAATAAGCTGTATTACGTTCTGTCGGTAACGCTGTGAGCTTCCCACACCCTTGACCCCGCTTCACTTCCTCTCTGAAAGATTGTATCTAACCTCCTTAAGGAAGTATCCCCTTTATTTACTAGATGCGCTGTAGAAAACTATAATACTGGCATAATTTTCAATGCGTTGTATACACAGAGAATATAGAATATATCCTCATCAAGTATAGAAGGCCAAAGCGGCCAGTTTCTTGATGCTGAAAGCTCACGTCCCCCAGCTGTAGTAGGCCCCCCATAAGGCAGGTGGCGTTAGCTTCGATGCAGCAGTTATACCACTAATACCATGAAAGATCGGTTATTACCATGCGAACGGTCGGTGTTGATAATAATTTTTGTAATCATGAGGAATTTCGAGGAATACACACTAAAACAATAATCTTCCATTAGAAAATAATCAAAACAACAAAATTTAAATACAAGATTTCCAATTTCAACTGAAGCCTTATACCTGGTTAAACACTTTATGTACGGCTAATAACTTAACGGAAGTCTTCGATAGCTGAACGGTAAAAGCGCTAGATTTTCTTTTGCGCTCTGGGCTTCTAATCTGAACTATACTATTTTTTTTTTTTTTCAAGTAAAACTTTCATAATACTTATCTTGCTACATTTCATTTCTTTATAATTATTATATATTTTT